TTTCATGAGAGACATGCAATTTCAGGGCCATTTCACAAGTGTGTTGCCTTGGGTTAGACTCAACAATCTTCTTCAGAGCATCAACATCAATTCCAACATGTCGGCCATCACAGTTTTTAAGGCTAAAGTCACCTGAACAAAATTTGCTGAACCATCATTGACACTTGCGAACGTTCAGAACATTTCCATAAATTTTTGATATTCTTTGTGGCTACAGAGGCATCATTACCCTTCTTGTATTCAAACAGCAATACTTGTCTCGCCATGTGCCATCACTATAAGGGATTAGAGTACACTAAACTTTACACATTATATAGGCTACACTAATTTGATGTTTAGAGCGATTTTTTTAACAATTATACGTGATGTATGTTTTTTGGGGGTGGTTAATAAAAGTGTTCCAAAACGCAACATTAATTTCTTGATGACCTAATAGTTATAACAAAAGAAACAATAAAAGAGGTACTGAATTTTCTTCTAATTTTTAGTACGTTTCACCCAGCTAATCCAAGAATGTCTCAAGAACTATTATGATTCCTTTATGAATTTTCAATACTGATTAGTAACTCATCATTCATATGTAGTGAATGTTATTTTTACATGGTTTTATTCATACATGTAAAAGCTACATCCTGAGAAAATATTTAAGCTTGAGGTATCAATTTTTGACATAAAATGTACAAAATCTGTTATTTTTTGTTCCTTTTTCACAATTATTAATTTACATAAGCCAGTATAAGTAAATCAGTTAGTCACTGTTTAGCAAACAATAGAAAAGTCCTCGTGCATTAACTGAAAAAATTGCCTGTTTTCAAATGGCTAAATGTTTCAATATTTATAGTAGACAGTTATTTCAGGTTTTAAAAGATGACCAGCAGCACTTCTCCCATTTAGTTTAAATTTGTTGCTGCTAATGCTTGATAAAAAAATTAAAAAAGCAACAAATTTTGTTAATTCACTGAAATGTCATTGTTCTTTAAAAGTATATTATTTATGGGACACACCAGGATTAAAATTCATTCTCAGTAGCCAATCACATTGCTGAAGTGTTCTACCTCCCCTTATTTTTTTTTAGTTTCATTATTTGGCTAATAAGAAAAAAAATTTTTCATGTTGTCTAAAACAGAAAATTTATTTAAGTGATACAAAGTTTCACATGATGCATAATGTTGGTATAAAGAGAAATAACTACACAGATATGTATTATATGGCTATAACAAAGACACATTTACCCTCACTAATTTTCAAAGAAAGAGCCAAATCTTGAGTCCAGCATGATTTCATCCATGAGGTGCCATTTGCTGCCAAGTAAGTCAACAATTCAAACCCTAGACACGTTCCCCAAACTGGAAAGTAGTCCCCTTTCTGGTTGGCCTAATTTGTTATACAACCAAATTACAGATAATGAAGCATTTTATGAGGTTACATCTAAATGCTTAGTTTTGTCTATCAATTTGATAGCTTATTCTCCAAATTAAAAATTCTAAAATGTTAAATAATTTCTACAACGTTAAAAGGAAGATTTGTTTCTCATTCTTTTTATGTATTCTGAAAATCTACATATTACCTGTCATGTTTACAAAAATTCTTTTAGTTTTGAAGTACATTTTAAAGAAAACTTCAATTGTTATTTTATTTTTTCTAATCTGTTCATCTATTTCAACCAAAACACATTTTAAGTCACTCTTATCTTACCTCCAGATGCATAATAAACTTTCTTCACTATCTTACTATAATGGATTTAGCTTGTATATATGTAACTAACTATGTATGTGACAAAAATAATACAATGTAACACCATCTATCGAATGGTACCACAAAAAAAAATTCATAACTTTGGGTATTCAAGATTCACACAATTAGAAAAATAAGTAAAGTACATGCAACAACCATTTCTTTATCACAGAACACAATTTTAAATATAAGTACTCTCCTCAGAACAAGAACACAACATTCACTAGGACTGTACGTGACGGTTTGATTATTGATGTAATTTGTAAATTTAGTACTAACAAAAATTATTTTTTCTATAAAGGGTACCACTTTTAATATATAAAAACATCACAGTTTATACCAGCACAATCTGAACACTTTCACATGCAGTACTTCCAAGAAAAATCCTTTTTTAGAAAATGTTCATTTTTTCTAAATTTTTTCAATGAGGTATGAATACTACAATTAGTAATTACTAGCACAAACAGCTGCCTGTAGGGCAGCATTTCTTTTAGTTCTATTAGTTGCGCTGAGCCTGTCTTTGATCTGTCATTTTGTCATCTCAAAATCATATTGTTGATCATAGTAATATCATCTATTCTGAAACCTCTCTCCATCTAACAGCCTTTTGATATGTTCTTGCACAGTCTGAAAATAAGATCAGCTTATGCTTGCCTAGAGTGTTACTACATTTGAGATCAAATTAAAAGAGGGAAATCAAAACTAAGGAAAATTTGTTATTAGAAATTAACCAAAACTCTGTTAAAGCTAATTTGAGATTCCCTAACAAAATTCTAGCTATATATTAAGCAAGAATACCCACGTTACAATGGATAATAACAACATGAATGAACAGGCTGCAGTACCATACTTGTAAGAGGATATGATAAACAAAGTTCAGTACGAATAAGTAGTCTCAAAAGAATGTGACAAGTTAACATAACAAACATTCTTGATGACTTAATAATCCTTAAATAATAGGGAATGCCAGATATTCAATAAGCATGTAAAGAGATCACCCAAAAATGCTCACAAATTCAAACTGGCCCACAGAAGTAATTTGTGTAATATGACCAAAGGAAACAGTGCAAAAATTGGTGTTTTTCAAAAAGAAAATGCTACTCTAACTAGCGGGTATGTGGCATGTGAATATATCATGTGTAGTATTATAATATTTACTTTTAATTAATTCTTTATTAGGAATATGTGCAAGTTTCACATAACATGTGCTTGAAAAAACTGTTAAGTTGATCTTGTTTCAAATTACATCTGCTCCTTTGTTGTTCTTGAAAGCAGACGATACCTGTTACCACCTAGGTAGAAAATAACATAATACAACACGTTGTGTTAAGGATGTCAACAGCTGTGTTTCAATCGTTGTTCTGGTGATATATAGAGGTTATAGCTCCATTTATGTTGTAAAGAGAATGACCAATTACGTGGGTAGTATGTATCCACCCTGGATAAATGCAAGGAATCAGTCAGTCTAGTCTTAAACTTGGTTTCATATAAAAAGTCTGGTTCACGATCTCAACTGAGTAATATGAAAGTGGAATCAGTAAAAGTAAAGGTCCAACATGCTCAAAACATCTCAGCACACTGTGTTTGTGTTTCATTATATAACAAATATTGTTCATTTTGTGTCCAGTCTCTGTTTCATTTAACCCTGATCCTGTCAGTAAAACTTTTAGCATTAATTCTTAATTGATAACTTGATTGAATCTCCATTTACAAAGATTTGATTTAATACAGTGTTACATGGATATACTACAGGTACACGTTTCCTTGATATTTCATACATCTTAAGTGCCAAGGTTACTTAAGGCACCACTGCTCATAAATATAACATTTCCTATTGATGCATCACACAGCAACACATGTGATAACTTAAATTGTTAGGTGTCATCCCAATAATGTCAGTGCTCTGATTTTCACTAAGAAAGAAGTGTGTATTTTTTGTACATTTCATTATCTTTGAAAATGGAATAAGGACTGCATTTTCACCAAAATCTCCCTAAAATTGGTAAAAGAAGTACAAACTTTGCATGTCTGGACAGTCTGGATGTTTGGTTTTGTTCTGTATCAGCTCAGAAACAGTGAGTGTTTTCCTCATAAATTAACCAGCCAATGTTTGTAGTAAAATGCCAAAGTATCCAGGTTTTGTTTGGTCTTATTATGAAAGTAGTACCTTAACCTTGCTGTTTACCAAAAACATAAAATAATGCATTAAGATCCCAAAATTGCCTCAGTTTTATGGGAGAAGAGGTTAAAATTGTTTTAAAAAATTCCCGTAAAAGGATGATTTAAATTTTGGAACAAAGCTATGCAACACCTTTTATAGTCACTGACATGTCCAGGAGTGTCATCCATCTACAACATTTAGAACCTGCTTTAAAGGTTAGGGATCTCCACACATTTCCAGACAGCAAAATGCCATGGTTGATGGTATGTAACACAGAAATGAATCCAGAAAAAGAAGAAGGAAAAAAACATTTCCAGGAGCATACAAAACTAGGTCAAAGGCACTGTTGGAATAGCTTCTAGTGCTGACCAGGGTCTTATGAATTAGATGGCAAAAATAATACAAATCCAAGTGCAATTAATGATATTGAAAGCAGTTTATTTCTTTAACTACAAGTTAGCTTAACTAAAGTTTGATGATAAACCTAAGTTCACAGTAGGTGCTAATACAACCATTTCAATTACTTGCTATCTTTCTTGTATCTCAATTTCTTCATCAAAACACAAACTCAATATTTATAGAACTGAACTAAATGACTAACTGGCTAACAGTAACAACCAAACTGATCAATAAACTTGCTAATCCAATAGTCATTCACCATGTATTCTAGACTAACCTATATTTTATACTACTCAAACTGCTTCTTAAACCTTCAAGAAAGTTCTAGTCATAAAGCCATGTCCATCACATGATGTGAAGACACCCTCTGGTCAAACAAAAGTACAAATATACCAATAAATAAATAAAAACATAGCCTACAAGGTACAACAATATTTCACCCAGAACATGGAAGGCTGAAGGATCACCAGATAAACAGTTCCCCAGCACAAGAGATATCTAAAGGGTGAAGAATCAGGAAGAATGAACAGTCTGCTAACAAAGCTGAAGCACTGAAGGTAAACTGATTAGAAGAAATCCAATTTCCATACATAAAAAAGAGAATGCCAACATAAGCTGAAACACCAGAAGAAACACAAAGCAAGTAAATTGTAACCACAGATATGCAGTTCTGAAAGTGATGAATATCTCAGACAAAAACATGAAAAATCATAAAAAAAAAACACATGTGCACAAAGAAAATATATTGACCAGTTATATTCCCAAACAGTAAACATACAAGAAACACTAAAAAAAAAGAGATTTCAAGGCATCACTATCACAACTAAACAGCAATTTAGAAAGATGGCTGTGAATGAATCTCATTCTGAACATGTGCAAAGCAATTTCATGGTGGGCTATAAGTGACAATATTTCTCTCAATGAGAATTTGGAGTTGATGTCACAAAATGGCTAACATAAGTGTGTGGAAAATGTTATAGAAAGATTTACAAACATTTAAGAGTAAGACTTAGACTAAAATTTAAGATCTAGGTCGACTTGCTTTATCATTTCCTTTTTTGGCTTTTTTCATCTCAGCTCACTTTCCAGATTTCTCTCTCCCATTTGGTACAATTTTGTATGTTTCTTTATAGCAACTTCGTATGTTTGTTGCATTTTGCACAAAGCTATTTGAAGGCTAACTGTGCTAGCTGTTCATAATTTATAAGTGACAGTTTAGAGGGAAGGTTGCTCGTCAGTACTATGCAATGTCAACTCTATTTTTTATTAATGAAAAGTGGGACTAACCATTAAATTATAATGCCTCCATGACTGAAAGAGCAAGCATGTTTGGTAGCAGAAGTTATAATTTTCCTATACGAAAATGTATTTCTGATAGATACTTCCCTCTTCTCACAAGATTACCTTTTACCATTTTGTCTGCTCTCTATATGCAAACTTTTTTCAAAATGCATGGCACAAGCCTTCCACATCCCTCTGTTGGAATTCAAAGTTCCGATATGTCTCTCATGCAAATCATCATGCATCAACTAATAGGAGAGTACTACTTTAATGTGACTCTCTCTATGCACAAATACCAAACTATCATTTCAAAGTTTGGCGAAAAACACGAGCACCAGAAGATTGTGGGAAGGAAGGTTGGGAAGTGTGAGTGGAGGGAAGTACCTATCAGAAATACACTTTCATATTGGAAAATTATAGCTTCTGACACAATACATTCCCTCTTCTCACAAGTTTAACTAGAATCACACATTGAAAAGAAGTAGGAACCAGTGCGAGGTAGGAACAGATGTATCCCCCTGGGAATGAGAGAAACAGGTCAGATAATCTGAGGAGGGGCATCACACCACTTCTAAATCAGGTATCTCTTTGCCATGAACAGGTGGGATCAAAATATGGTGGAATATGAAGGGAGCACATCTGCGTGGGAGAGGATAGGTCAGAAATGTGATCCCAATCAGAGAAACAGATACACTCAATCCAACATAATGAACGTGGGTAATGGAGGATGTGTCCCATGGTGTAGAGTGGCTAGGGTGCATCAGACCATACTCTGTAAGTCAACTACATCCAAAACCTC